GGTAGTGCAATCACCTTTGTTCTACAAGTGAGTGTAGTGGTCAGCCCTGCCCATAGGCAGGAAACCTTGGGCATGATCAGGTCTACTTCAAGGGCCTGGCATTTAGTGGGCACTTAATAAACATTTTAGAGAGGAAGAAAAGGAGAACGGGTCACCCATGAGGTTGAATTTTAAGAACCCTGAGGATTTAGTCCATCATCAAATACTCCTCCTTCCTCCATGAAGCCCAACATTTTCCTGGTCAGTTCACTGGTCCTTCCAGTCACACTGATCTGCCCCTTCTCTGAGATAGGTATCAATCATTTAGTCATTCAGAAAATGCTTATTAAGCACTTGCTATGTGCCAGTTCTAAGGAGCTCTGGTAGCGTAGTGGTTAAGAATCGGGCTGCGAACCGCAAGGTCAGCAGTTAGAAACTACCAGCTGTTCTGCGGGAGAAAGATGAGGCTTTCTGCTCCCGTAAAGATTTATAGCTTTGGAAACCCTGTACAGGGTCGCTATGAGTTGGGACCAACTCCACCGCACATAACCACCACCACCATGTGCCAGTTCTAGGTGCTGTGAGAATGAGACTGAAAAGAATAGTGAAAATCATACCCTCATGGAGTTTACATTCTTGGGAGAGAGGGGAAGAAAGACGAGAAACAAACATGTATGTGTGTATGACAAACGTGTGTGCAGGATAAACATGTATGTATGATAAGCATGCATTATATATGGCGGTGCTGAGTGCTTGAGAGGAAGGGTAACAGAAAAGAGAGAGAGCAGGTAGGGTGGGCGCTATAAACCCATGAGCAACAGTGAACCAGGGAGAGCTCCCTGAGAAGGTAGCAGCTGAATAAAGACCTGAAGGAGGAAGGAAGCAAGCCATGCAGCTATCTGGGGGAAGTGTGTTCTAAGAAGAGGGAACAGCCAGTGCCCTAAGGTAGGCTTTGGTTTCTGGTCATTTTTTCTCTCTCTTGAGCTAGATTGCAACTTGAAGGTAGGAACAATATTTTAGAAATTATTTTGGCTCTCTTTTAGAAAGCACTTTATTCTTCACTGTGTACCTCTTGTACCTACTGAATTATGTATATTACCCATTGTAAAAAAATTCTCAAGTCAGCCTATGCCATTTTGTATCCCTCAGAAGAGGGATGCTCAGCACAGAGGTGGACACTGGTGCTGTTTGGTGCCATCGAGCCCATTCCTACTTATAGTGGCCCATGTAACAGAGCAGAGCTGCCCCATAGGGTTTTCTTGGCTGTAATCTTTAAGGAAGCAGATCACCAGATCTTTCTCTGGAGTTGTGGAGTGGTTTTGAACCACCCAACTTTTGGTTAGCAGCCAACCACTTAACCATAGTGGCATCAAGGTTCTTTGGACACATAGTTGCTTTTCACCTTTACATAATACCATCCAGGGAATTTAGTGGTGCTGCTGGTGGGTTTGAACCACTGACCTTTCCAGTAGCAGCTGAGCATTTAACCACCAGGGCTCCTTTGGACACATAGTAATAACAACAACAACAGCAACAACAACCAAATCCATCGCGTCCTTTCAAACTCACAGTAACCTTACACGGGACAGACTGGGTCTGGTCCTTAGGATTTCAGACACTGTACATCTTTATGAGAGGACACAGCCTCATCTGTCTCCCAAGGGGAGACTGGTGGGTTTGAACTGTCAACCTAGATGTTTTCAGTCTAGTAATTATCTGCTGGGTATGGGTTTAATAGCGACATGATTAAAATGTCAGGCTTCATTTTGTTTTTTAAAAATTACTAATCCCACAGCTTTCCTGAGACAATCAATCTGTTTCCCAGGCCAGGTTTATCTCTTATCATCTGGGAGACCATTTGTTCCTTTTCAGACTTTTTTTTTTACTTGTAGACTTCCCACCATAAGGTGGACCTCAAATTACAAGTTCTGTGAGGGGAATACTTTCCTCATCTTCCTTATTAGCTTCCTCTGACCCCTCTGAAGTAGAAGAGTAGAATGTGTAACTACTTTTTTTTTTTTTTAGTAGAGTAGCTCTTCTAAGATTTTTACATTTAAAAGCCTGGGGAGAATGTAAATGGTTGTAGCTAAGTGTGGGCAATGAAAATGAATCATGTGACAAGAAAGAGCAGAGGGGAATGTCTTGTCCTCGCATGAATTGGCATACCTTGTGTGTCTTTGTCTTTTCACTCATCTGTGGGTCCCCAGATGCAAGCAGATTACACAACACTCAGTCAGCCCTTCAGAAAGTCCTTGTGTTCTATGACCAGCTGAAGAGCGCGCTGCATCTCCAGTTTCGTAGCTGTAGAAAAATCAATCCTACAAGAGGAAAACAATAATGAGCATTTAAAAATAATAAAAGTCCGGAATATTTGTGTTTTTAGTAAGTTCTTGTAGGTGGTGGGTCTCTTTTCTGTAGAACCAAGGGACAGGGGATACACACAGCCTGGACAGCAGCCTTGAAAAGGAGACAGACAGAGCGACAGAGGGATTTGGGAGTCGGGAGGGCAAGTCAGGAACTAGAAGCTGAAGCGCTAGAAAGCAGTGTAAGAATTGTTATCCCACAGGTGCAAACGTTGGATACCAAACAGGGAGACGTATTAGAGTGTTGGCAGGGAGTGAAGAAGCATGTTAAAGATAAATATGGTTGCAAACCTCTGTCTTCCCTTCTGCTCTGAGGTGGAGTATTTGAAACGCAGCTCGTTTTCCTGTTGGACTGGGCACAGGGCTCAACAGAAGGTGAATTTGTAGTTTTTTCAAATCTTGTCTTAGAACAATAATTTATGTGTACTATGACTAGTGCTCAGGGTTAGGCACTGGGCTGCTAACCGCAAGGTCAGCATTTCAAACCTATCCGCCACTCCAAGGTAGAAAGATGAGCGTGTCTGCTCTCATGAAGATTTACAATCTCAGTAACCTTGTATAGGGTCACTATGAGTCGGAATCAACTTGATGGCAGTGGGAATCATGACTTTAGACAAGGAGCCCTTGTGGTGCTGTGGGCTAGCATTGGGCAGCTAGCTAACTGCAAGGTTGGCAGTTCAAACCCACCAGTGGCTCTGAGGGAGCAAGCTGAGACTGTCCGCTCCTGGAAAGATCTACAGTCTCAGAAACCCTATGGGACAGTTTAGTTTGTCCTACAGGATCACTAGGAGTTGGAATCGACTCGATAACAATGCTTTTTTTTTTTAAATAACTTTAGTCATAATAAACCTGAAGTCAATGCTAGTGGTTGAAATTCTACATGGGTCCCAAAATAGGCATTTTAAAAAGTCACACTCCATCCCATCCCTAGCTCCATTTCTCTCTTGCTGGCATTTGACGTCCAGTGACCTTGAAGTATACGTACTTAGACTTAACATAGAAAAAGCATCTTTTTTTTCCCCCTTTTTCACTCACTCTGTTACACCTGCTCTGTGGTCTTATGCAAGCTTCTAATCCCTCACATGCTGCCTTTTCCTCAACCTTCTTCCCCTATGTCTAGTCTTCCTGAAGCTTCATCTCCAGGAATTTAATGACAGGGAGAGGCTAGTTCTCTTTTGCATACTGTTGTTAATTAACGGTTCTATTTTTACAAATAAAGGCAATATGGCCTGGTCTGTGCTCTAAAGGCTCTATGGGCTAAAGGAGAGTTTAGCAGCCTTGCTTGTTAAAGTACTGTATCACAAACCAGATGGCAGTGGCTACCTTAATTGCAGGCATAGTGCCCAGAAGAAATTAAGTCCTCTAAATCAAGTCCTCTCAACTTACAACTGTTAAAGTGGAAAATGTCACTATGACCTTTTTCTAGTTTATGAAAACTTCTTCCCATCCCTACACCCAGCTTACTTCTATCCTCAAAGTCACCGGTATATGTGTATCCTTCCACACGTTTTATAGAGATACAAGCAGATTGTTGTTGTGGTTGTTAGGTGCCGTGGAGTCAGTTCCAACTCACTACGACCCTGTTTAGGGTTTCCTAGGAGCAGTTGGTAAGGAGCTCTGGTAGCGTAGTGGTTACGAATCGGGCTGCGAACCTTAAGGTCAGCGGTTCGAAACTACCAGCTGCACCGCAGGAAAAAGATGAGGCTTTCTACTCCCGTAAAGATTTACACCCTCGGAAACCCTATACAGGGTCACTATGGGTCGGAACCGACTCGATGGCACTTAACAACAACAACAAGGAGCAGTTGGTAGGTTTGAACTGCCGACCTTGTGGTTAACAATTCAGTGCTTATCCGACAGCACCACACCCGGACCCCATGCAGATACACACACATATTCCCCTCATCCTTTTTTAAAATGACAAAATAGCAGCATAGTATACACGCTGTTCTGCGCCTTACTTTTGTTCTCTTTCTAATCACCTAACACTATATCTTGGAGCTCACCCCATATGGTTGTGTTGTTCTTGGGTGCCATCAGATTGATTCATACTCCTACAAAAGAACTTGAAAAACCTTGTGGGAAAATTCCATTTTCATTGAATTCCATTCTTGCATGAACTTTCTGAAGGCATCTCTTAGTGGCCCCATGTGACGTCTGACTCAGGGTTTTCTTGGCTGTCATCTTTATAGAAGCAGATCACCAGGTTTTTCTCTTGCAGAGGCACTGGGTGTGTTTGAACTGCCATCCTTTTGGTAATCAACAAAGTGTTTAACTGTTGCACCACTAGGGCTTTAATAACAATTAGTTATTACAATTTCTTTCATCGTGGATTCCAGATACACACAGAATAGTCCATGTAATGATAAATTCTCAGAAGTTGATTTTCATCTATTTTCCCCTTGCTGGTGAATGACTTCCACCTCAGAATGGTTCAGGCACATTCTTTGAATCACCTTTCAGATAAAATATCATTTTAATAAGCATTCGTGCTTTTGCCTAGAGAATAAGTGAACAGCTTTATCTAATTGGTTTCACACTACCGCTAATTTAAACCACATCCTGAAAGAGGTCCCTTAAGGTCATACAAAGTAGGGACTCTTCAAAAATGATCTCTCTCCTAAGGCTCTTATGTGTTTTCTTTTGTTTCAGAAAATAGAATGAACCGAAGCATTCCTGTGGAGGTTGATGAATCAGAACCATACCCTAGTCAGCTGCTGAAAGCAATCCCAGAATATTCCCTGGAAGAGGAATCAGAACCACCTGCTCCAAATATAAGGAACATGGCACCCACCAGCCTGTCTGTACTCCAAGCAGCTGACTCGGGAGAGTTTCCTCGGGCTCACCCGCCCCTGAAACTTGCAAATCACCAGTGGTCTGTGTCCCAGCAGGCCACCTGCCTGCGCAATAAAGTCCTGGAGGAGAGTGAAGACAGCTTCTGTGGGAGACACTCAGACCTCAGCAAAGATTGTGCGGCTAATGAGCCTGCGTCTGAGGCCATGGTTGGAGCCCTCCTCCCAGAACATCAGTTTTCAGTTCTGGGAAAACGCAATCAATGGCTGGGATCTCAGCTTTCAGCAGCTTCTCCAGATACTGGCCATGACTCAGACAAATCAGACCAAAGTTTACCTAATGCCTCAGCAGACTCCTCAGGCAGCAGCCAAGAGACGATGCAAAGGCCCCAACCCCACAGGAATCCAGCAGCTCCAGATCTGCCTACCATAGACACGGGGTATGACTCACAGCCCCAGGATGTCCTGGGCATCCGGCAGCTGGAAAGACCTCTGCCCCTCACCTCCGTGTGTTACCCCCAGGACCTCCCCAGACCTCTTAGGTCCAGGGACTTGCATCTGTTTGAACCTCAGAGGTATCCAGCGTGTGCTCAGATGCTGCCTCCCACCCCTTCCCCACATGCTCAGTGGAACTATCAGTACCATTGTCCTGGAGGTCTCAACCCCCAAGTGCCATGTAAGTGACCTCCACCTCATTGGACATTCTGGGCTGGTTAACTGCGTAAACAATGGCCTCTCCAGGCTGCAGAGAGAGCACTCCAGTTCTCAAAAGACACTTCCCATATGGGGTTAGATTTGCAAAGGGTCTTGTGATTTTTGTCGTTGCTGTTAAGTGCTGTCCAGTCGGTTTCAGTTCAGACTGATTTTGTAGTGACCCCAAGTGATGGAGTAGAACTGCCTTGTAGGGTTTCCTAGACTGTCATCTTTAAAGGGGCAGATTGAGTCTTTTCCCCACGGATCTGCTGGATGGGTCCAAACTGTCAGCATTTGGGTTAGCAGTCTTTCCCCGCAGGGCACCTCACAAAGGATCTTAGAAGACCCACTTAGAACCTCTTCACTAGGGACCTTTAAGGACAAACCACAATCCCCTTCTGGGTTAGTTTAACGGAAACCTGCCTGGAGGCAGAGAGATGACCCAAGTGACATCTAGAAAAGTTGTTTATTGTCCTAATTCTTGGGCATCTATATTCTTCTTTCTCTGCATGCTTCTTCTCCATCTTAAACTTGATGTGTAGAGAGGCAGGACCTTCAGTCCAAATATCAGAAGGTGCCAGTGTCACTGAGATCATGGATTCCTGTTATTGCATGAAGATTAAGTTGCTCATGTGGTTTTGTTGCCTAAGCCCTTTGGGGGATTTGAGTCTTCCACATCTATCCTGCATTCCAGCCATACCCATCGTTGGTAGTCCCCCAAACTTCTTAAGCTGCATCACTCTTGAAGCATTTGCCTATGCTATTTTATCGATCCAAGAGAGTCTTCTTTTCCTTATTCATTGAACCCAGTTCTACATGGTTTTAGCAGTTTTTATTGAGCTCTAATGTACATATCATAAAATTCACACATTATCCATTTTAACTGTATAAGGGGGCTTCAAAACATTTGTGGGAAAAAATTCTAGTATCTTTCAATGCCATTTTTCCATGAACTTTTTGAAGCCCCCTTGTATAATTTAATAAATATTAGTCTATCTATGTGCAGAATTGTACAACCATCACCATATATAAGGGTAAGTCAAAAAGTATTGTTAAGTAGGGTTCTAGTTCAAGAGCTGCCCTACTAGATTTCATTGGGAAACCTTTACCTCATCTACCCTGCAGTCCTGAGCTTGCCCCATTCATACTTCTTTTTGTTCCCCAAACTCAAAGAACATTGAAAAAGAACATGCTTTGAGTCCCTTGAGGATACCAAAACTGCCATTTTGACTAAGAAAGAGTACAGAATTATTTGAGGAAGGGTTGTTGTTCTTGTTAAGTGCTGTTGAGTTGGTCCCAACTCATAGTGACCCTATATAGGGTTTACAAGGAGTGGCTGGTGAGCTTGAACCACCAACCTTTGTGGTTCAAGTTGACCTTGCAGTCCAGCGCATTAACACACAGTGTGAAGAAGGGTTATTGTTAGTGGTGATGGTTATGTGCTGTGGAGCTGGTTCCGACTCATAGTGACCCTGTGCAGGGTCTCTGAGGCCGTAAATCTTGGTGGGAGAAGAAAGCCTCATCTTTCTCCCGCAGAACGGCTGATAGTTTGGAACTGCTGACTGTGAGATTAGCCATCTGACTCATAACCACTACACTACCAGAGCTCCTTCAAGGAAGGGTTAGAGAGACCCTAGATGGAGGTTATGATGAGAAACAATAGTTTCCTATTCTGATAGTTTGTTTAACAATGGTTTCTATGACTTTACAGCAATACTTGTTGACTTTTAAGACTTAACTCAGGCGTCCCTCTGGAAACCCTCTCTTTGAGGTCTTCTGAATTCCTTGTGCTTCATGTCTTATCTCCCAGCACCACTACAGCATTTGCTCACAGACTTGTCTGCCTTTCCTCTTGGAATCGTGTTTGCGTATCAGAGATGGTATCTGTTGTTTTGTGTTGCTTTTTAACGTGGTATTCTTTTTTTATTTGAAATCTTTATTCCTTTTTCTGGCATCTGCTAATTTGAATTGTTGCTAAGGTACCCTCAAGTTAATTTAGACTAATAGCAACCCAATGTGACAAGAGTAGAACTGCCCAACGGTGTCTTTCTAGTAGATGATTCTCCTCACCTGACGTGGTATTTATTATACTCAGAAAATTGTTTCTGAGTGAATGAATGAGTAATTGGCATTAGTGCTGTAAGAATCTCTGCAAATAGTTAAAGTCTTAGATAAAGAGAGAAGGTTCATTATAACTATCAATGTTAAATTACTGCCGAGGACACTGGAAAATAACAATGGGTTTTTCAGATGAAACACAGGATGGTGAGATGTGATCTTTTCTCAGCAAGTAAGTATTGCACAAACACATTTCAAATGGTGTCAGAAGCCAAAGTTTGATGCCTAGCCACAAAAATAAACCACATAAATGATCACAAAGGCTGTGTTTGGTTGTGCGCCGTCAAGCTGATTCTGACTCATAGCAACTGTGTATAGGTTTTCTGAGCCTGTAAATTTTCACAGGAGCAGAAAGCCTAATCTTGCTTTCATTGAGTGGCTGGTGGATTTAAACTGCTGACCTTGAGATTAGCAGCACAACACATAAACACCCTATACCACCAGAGCTCCTTACAAAGATCGTTGTTGATGTTGTTGTTAAGTGCCACCCAGTGTTTTCTGACCCATTGTTGTTGATGTTAAGTGCCATAGAGTCGGTTCCGACCCATAGCGACCCTGTACAGGGTTTCCGAGGGTGTAAATCTTTACGGGAATAGAAAGCCTCATCTTTCTCCCGCGGAGCGGCTTGTAGTTTCGAACCGCTGACCTTAAGGTTCGCAGCCCGATTCGTAACCACTACGCTACCAGAGGTACATAGAGACCCTTATAATTTATGTATTGGTACATAATAAATCTTCCAGGGGTTCTGGTGTGGTGCTGTAGGATCAGCACTAGCCTGCTAACTACAAAGTCAGAGGTTCAAACCTACCAACCTCTCTCGGAAACCCTATACAGGGTCATTATGAAGTTGAGTCAGAATCTACCCAATGGAATTTAACAACAACAAGCTTCCAAGGAGCTCTAGGGTCTCAACAGTGAAGTGCTCCACTGCTAATCAAAAGGCTAACAGTTTGAACCCACCCAGTGCTGTATGGGAAAGAGACCTGAGGGTCTGCTTGGTCACACGGGGTTGCTATGAGTCAAAAATCATCTGGATGGCACAGCATCACCATAAAGTTTCTAAAGTGAATGCAACAATTTTTAAAAAAGTTAAAGGGGGTGTGTAGATAGAGAAATTTCATTTAAAAGGTGTTTGGAAGAAACAGCATTACTGAGCCTAGAGCTAGGGAAACGTTGTGCTGGGGCAAAGGATCCCTTGGCTGAAGATGGAGAAAGAGGCCCTGAGCCCGAACTGGAGGCCTAAAGGATTGGATTATGGGAAATCGCCTGATGGGAGGGAGGACTCTCTGCTGCCCCTGGTGGTTGGTAACAGGATGGGCATGACTGATGGATTTCCTTAAATATGAATCGCTGAGAACTGGACCAGGGCAAGTCCAGGGCTGTGTTTCTTTCTCAGTGACTTCAAGGTTGAAAGGAATAATTTTGTGAGAATAATACCATAAACTATTTTTTTAACATTCAATCAGCATTTAAAAATATTTTTTCTATTCATAAAAGTAACAACTTATTTACCCCCCAAATTGAAATGTGCCTAAAACTTTCAGCATTTAAAAATATTTTTTCTGTTCATAAAAGTAACAACTTATTTACCCCCCAAATTGAAATGTGCCTAAAACTTCAAACAAAGAAAGGGAAAGTATCTATATTTCTAATATCCAAATATAATTTCCTCACTAGGGCTTTGGAGTCCTGGTGTAGCTCTGTAAGATAAGCACTGGACTGCTAACTGCAGGGTCAACTGTTCAAAACCCTATGCAGGGTTGGTGTGAGTTGGAACTGACTCAACAGCACTTAACAACAACACTAGGGTTTTGGCATAAGCTGGTGTTTTTTCCTTTCGCTGTGGAATAGCGCACTGGACTGTCAGGTGGGTTTGAATTGCAAGGTCAACTGTTCAAACTCACCAGCTGCTCCTTGGAAACCCTATACAGGATCGCTATGAATTGGAACCGACTAATCAGCACCTGACAGCAACAATGACAGTATTTAATATAAAATTCAAATTATTTCCAATGTTAGTTCATGTATTTCTTGCAGTACCATTTGAAAATGCCTCTTAATAATTTATCAGCAGAATCTACCAATTGTGACCAAGTCTCTCTTGTTGGTAGATTTAAGATCGTTTCCAGATTTTTGTATCAATTAGCACTACTCTGACACACATCAGGTACGCCAGTTTGTATCTGAACTTCTAATTAAGGCTTTAGGTGAACGTGTAGAAGTATGACCACTTAGTTGTTCCTACTAACAGAACGTCTGATCATAATAGACAAGTGCATTGACTTAGTCTTATCATCGAGGGGTCAAGGAAGATGTACTCACTCCAAAATATTTTCCTTGTTGAAACCTGAAATGACAACATTAGCAATCCATTCTTTGGAAATAAGCATTGTCTCCTCTAGACAGGCACCTTTCAATTGCAGACACCCTCCCTAATCCGTCATGACTTCCTTTCTTTCATCTGATGGTCTCTCTCTAAACCAAACCCTCAGCCAATGAGTATAGACAACATTTCCCAAACTGTAAATCTTTAAGAGAACAGGAAGCCTCATCTTTCTCCCAGCAGCCACTCCTCCACTATAGTATGTGTTATTTCCTTCTATTGATGAAGGAGTCCTGGGGGAATAGTGAGTTAAGCATTGGACTGCTAACCACATGGTCAGCAGTTCAAACCCACCAGCTGCTCCATGGATGAAAGATGAGACTTTCTGCTCCTGTAAAGATGAACAGCCTTGGAAAGCTTCAAGAGCAGTTCTATTCTGCCCTAATGGGTCAGATTCATCTTAATAGCAATGGGTTTGGTTTTGGGGTATTGGTGTGGGGAGGAGGAGTAGGACCTTGGCAGTGAAGAGAGGTGATGAAAAG